TGCTTTTGGAATGAGTCTTGATAGCCCATCTGCGTGACCAATTGTGTGGGTGGACAAATATTGTATTCTAAAATTATAGTTTAACAAAATTGTCCCCCACCTAAGCAATCTATTTGCGGTATATATTGGCAGACCCTTTTTTGGACCGAATATCGTTACCAGAGGCTTGTGGTCTGTCTGTAGCGTGAAATACCGTCCATGTATGTATCGATGGAATTTTGTTACAGCGAAGATAATTGCCAATGCCTCTTTCTCAATTTGTGAATAGTTTCGTTCAGCAGGTAGTAGCGATCTGCTTGCATGAGCGATCGGTCGAACTTTACCATCCTTCCACTTGTGCAATATGCACGCCCCTACGCCGTGTGTACTGGCATCGCTCGCCACGATGATATCTACCTTTGGATCAAAATGTACCAGGAATAAGTCTGATGTCAGTTTTTCTTTTATATTCTTAAATGCTTGCTTGCATTCTTTTGTACAAATCCAAAGTTTTTCTTTTTTTAGTAGATCGTTAAATGTGGAGGTCTGGGATAAAATCCTGGTAATATGACACCAAGCCTAAAAAAATTTGTAGGGATTTAATATCCTTTGGCTCAGGCATATCTTATTGCTGATGTTCGACTTTTATCTGGCTTTTTTCCTTCTTTATTCACTATATGTCCCAGATACTTGATCTCCTCCAGGAGAAAATCGCATTTATTTTCTTTCACTCGAAATACATAGCTTCTTAACCTTTCGAAAACTTTGCGTAAATGGTTTTTGTGTTCATCCACCGATTCACTTTTCACGAGTATATCGTCGAGATATGCTATCGTGTAGTCTAACCCAGATAACATAGTATCCATTATTTTCTGGAATATTGCGGGTGCTGTCTTCACCCCGAACGGTAAACGTTCGTATCTGAACAAACCTTTATGCGTGTTCATGCATAGCAACTTTGCGCTTTCGTTATCCATGGGTACTTGCAAGTATGCCTCACTAAGATCTATTTTCGAAAAGATTTTTCCGTCATTTAACTTTGCAAACACTTCGGGACTTGGTAGTGGATAGTGGTACTCTATTGCGTCGTTTAACCCGGTTGAAAAATCGGCGCAGACGCGAATTTCGCCAGACTTCTTTACGTAGACAGCCGGAGCTGCCCAGTCACTGTATTCCGTTTTCGAGATCACACCAATTCCCGTTAGTCTTTAGAGTTCTTGGTCAATTTTCTTTAATGCGGCAAAAGGGATGCTACGCTTTTTTTTAATAGGTTGAAAATTTTTCTTCAGCTGTATTTTTGCTGATGCTTCAGTGCAACGTCCAAGTCCTTCGGCGAAGACTTCGGGGAATGTTATTTTCAATTCTGTTTTTAAATTGTTTATATTGTCTTTGCTTTTCACTAATGTCCCATAGATTGAACTTAGTGATTGCGTCAGTCCCAAACAGGTTGTTTGTGTTTGTCATCAAATTTTCATTTTTAAAGTCTTGCTGTTGAAAGTTATATTCACCCCTACTTCACCTTAAAATTTTATCTTTTTTCCAGTTACCGTCCTGGCTATTTTGTTGGACTATTTTGTTGCAGAGTTGGTTTTCCTAGAGTTTTCCATGTTTGTGGAATCGAAATGTCAGATCCTGAATCTAGTTGCATTTTTACATGTAGGTATTTTCGAATATTCAAGTCTTGATCTTTGTCCGACTTAGTAACTTTCACTCGACTTCTGTTTAATTTTCTACACTTGGACATCTTATGTCCTACTTTCTTGCAATTTCTGCAAGCTTTGTTTTTATATGGACAGTCATTGTACCAATGCCACTGGCCGCATCCATAACATGCACTCGGGAGTTTTTTTCTATAGTCTCTGTTCCTTCTTGTAGTAGGATACCACTTCCGTTCAGGCGGTGGAGAACGGAAACGAGTCTTCCTATATACTTTCTTCACATTTGCGACAGCAGTTTCTTCTATTTTCTCTGAATCTTGCTTAATGCTTACGCATTGCTGACAGTACTCGGCTAGCTTTTGTAGTGTCATGTTTTGGTCATTTTCTAGCTTTGCTAAAATGAGTCTTCGCATTTCGCTATTTTTTTTTTTTTTTTTTTAGACACTAAGCCTAGCACGAATATTAGACACTTGAAATTGTCCGCCGATAATTCGGACAAGCGAAAATCGTCACATGTCTTATTTACGATTGACTGCTCGCTTTTTTGAATAATAAGGCATTTCCACCTTTTGAGAAATAATGAATATCTGGGGTTGAAAAGCTCTTTTAGTAATTCAATTGCTTCGTCGAATTTTAAATCGCTTGTCTTTTCGGGTAATATAAAGTCCGTAAATTTGTTATGTTCCGCCGTTCCCAGTTTTCGTAGTAATAATCCTATCTTTTTCTCGTCTGTCCATGTTTGGCAATCGACTTCATAAAAGTCCTGATATCTATGGTAATATCTTTCGAAAGTCTTTTCCTCTTCTGGGTTATAGGTAAAACTTTCGATCGTCGACCATATTGTGTTTTGAGAAAAAGTACTTTCATCCGAGTCTTTCTGCTTAGACAATATAGCTTTATGTATAAGTTCAGTCATCGCTAACTGTTTTTTATTTTCTGAAAATTCAATAGTTTTTCCAGAAAACGTTCTTCACTCTCTTGTTGTCTTTGCATCTGATACTTAATGAGTTCCAGCATAGATGATTGAAATTGCTCCATGATTATGTATGTGTAGAGAAAAAAAGAAAGCAAAATTATGTGTGTATTTTTTTTTCTCTCTGAGGTGGGCTAAAAAATTAATCAAATTAAATCTGGAACGACAATTTTTTTTTTAGCACAATAAATTGGTTATTAAAGATTCCAATTTAATCAATAGGTTAATTTCCAACTTAGTTTTTTTTCTTTTTTGTCGATAAACTTTTCAATCCTTTGCTGTAAACAAATGCATGAACTTTTGAATTTTTCTGAGTTGAAAAATCGTTTCTTTCGCTGTTGCGATATTTATTTTTCAACGTAGGTTCTTTTTATCCCGTTCGAAGCCTTCGTCGCCACTGTTGAGTTGTTGGGAGTGTTCCCCGCGTGTGTGTATTTGAATAAAGACAAACACAGTTGTAGGGATAAATACTGGTATATTTGTAAGAGGTAATTAACAACAGAGTGATTAGTAATAAGTAACAATAGCCAAAGTCTACAGTCCAACGGTATGTAATGGTAACCTGATCCTACACACTCTCTAGCACTGACTTATATCGTAGAGGGATAAGTCCATTATCAGTCAGAAGGTGGGTGCGCCCCAACAATTAGAAGTAAATTACATACACAACGAAATGTTCATGAATATATTCGAGTGAGTTTTACTGTGTTGGTGAGTTTCAGTGTGAAGCGTTCACAGCCCTTTTAATTTCAGGAGATTTTCAAAGCATAGCTTAGATGTGGCGAGCCCTTTTAATTTCAGTGTGGAAAGTTCATGTCACATATGTCCAAAGAGGAAAACCCGAAAGAGAGAGTGTTACTATATGGTTCACGTGTTTTTTATGTTCGAGAGCTGCTGCGAATAAAAGATTTATTAAGGGCTGCTACTGATTAAAAGCTGCTACTGATATTAAAGGATACTAATTAAATCAATTTTTGTCACTTTCAGGCTTTTCTTTGTCTATTTCTAATCGATAAAATGAATCAATAATCATCTATTCATGAGTGAAAGCCAATTTTCAATTTTCAAGCTCAGTGGCAAGATTTGGCTTTGGAAAAATCAATAAAGAAAAGATTTTTCCGAGATAATGTAGTAAGATATTGCACTACAATTGAGGGCCAGATACCTCCGATCTGAAATTGAATTCGGTTTGTCTGTGATATGTTTTTGATTGCTATTTAGATAAAGGGTGGAATTTAGAACAATAGGATTAAACTGCTTTCTATCTTTTTAAAACATCTTAAACTATCTTTTGGTGATATAAAAAAAACTCTCAATAAATTGTGTTTATGTATGAAGTTTTTATCACCGCCCTATCACTTGCTACCACAATTCAAAAAATATCCATTTCAATTTCATAAGGTTAACAAATAAATATCCACTTCAATATAATAGGAAAGATTGAACTCGCTATGCAGGAGTATTATTAATTATTACCAATAGACACATATAAACAGACCGATGTTGATATTCGATAGGCATGAATAATTTGATATAGCGAGACATGAATACACAGATATCAACAGATATAAAGATGATAAGATTTATAACATCTTCTATATTAGGAAGCTAATATATGATGATTTTATGCCCTTTGAAACTATATATCTTTTGACGGGTATAATTTAAATATAATCAGGCATTTCTTTACAAATATTATTTTTCATAAATACCTTTGTCACTTGGCTTAAGTACGGCTATGGGTTAAATAGGACTAGTATATGGAAAAATTGTTATTATTCTTAAGAACATTGTGGGAAACAACGTATTATTTTTACAATCTAAAATATATTTCGGCTTCAAATAACCCACAAAAACCCTGTTTAAAAAAACAAAAAAAACAAATCAATCATTCAGAGGCAGTCTGTGAGTTCTCTCCGAATACAAGGTGAGGTAAGTGCAAAACATAAAACGATAGTAAACAAAACTCAAAATAGCACTGCTTTTCACATATGTTGTTCAATTTTCGACAACGTGTGCAGTATAGGATATTCCATATATTATACCTTTTTTCTAATCTTCTTAACCAATGAAGTCAATAGCGTGTCCCAGATATCACGTTGAAATCTACATTGGTTTGACATACATTTAATTGACAAGTTGATGTTATTTGATTCTTTCAGTTTTCTTATATTCAAGTGACATTCATTCTATATACACACATGCTTTTTTGAAGAAATTTAAAAGTCATAACAGCAAATTCAAAAATACGACAAATTAAAAAGTAAGGCAAGCAAACTAAATCGATCACTATAAGTAATTACATATCTGAAATTACTGCTGCAGTCGTTACAAATATTAATTTTTAACTGAAATTAGTTGAATTTTGTCTCCTAAAATACTTAGTTGAAATGATAATTGATTCAAACAGTAAACTTGAAGAGACTCAATTCATATCTATTATGGAAATGATCGGTAAAATATTAATATTAACATTTACAATTAAAACATAATTTATGCCATTATAAAAATTTAAAAATAATTATGAGTAAATAACGTATTTGTATCCAATAATCCAGTAATTTGTCACTACGTTGAAAGAAACGTATGGTATTATTGGTCCATCAGCTTTTTCCCTAATTTAGCAATTTCTTTTACATGATTCAGCCGATAAAGTTCCAATAGGAGTGTCAATTGAAACCTGAAATAATCGAGTTATTTAGTTTTTGACAATAGATTACCAATATGATGTAAATTATGAAAATGGCGTTTAATCTGAAACCATACAACTTCTCACAAATGCTGATTCAACAATGGAATGTGCAGGTGCATTGTTGATAACCACAACAGTTTCGGTTTCATGTACTATTTAACTTGAATTCACATAACGACCACCTCCCAAACCCTTCTTATTTTCAAGATTCTTTCATGAACTTTATAGTACACAACACTATGTATTCTTTTTGAACCTAGAAGTATTTTCTTGCTTCTGGTAGCAATACTCACATTGTACTAATTTGCACAATAGATATTGAGTAATTAATGTAGGAATTATTTCCTTTTTGTTTTGTTATATAAACAAAACAAAAAGGAAATAATTCCTACATTAGCGATAATATGAACAGTAGAATATGACGCTTAATGGTATATTATTGGCGATGCTATGGTTGGGTGTTGATGCAATATATCTAAAAAAATATTTTCAGATAGCTTGGTAGTTCATATGCTTATGAGATGTGGTTTTGCTGAACTTTATGAATACTTCCGTGTACCTTTAGTTTATACAAATTACTACTTCAACAACCCAACTTCTATGTTTACTTTCACTTTAGTATTGCTCTGGGCTCTTATTTTTCCATTCTGGCATTTTCAATGAACCACATGTGAATTCCTGGCATATGACAACAATGGTTTAACTCAATAAATCTGAAAAATTAATAAATATGATTTGAATTTATAAAGATGGCTACATTAACACTAAAATTTAAAATAAATTTACCAACAAACTAATTTCACATTTGCAACTGCATAATTGATTCCTCATTTTCATCAATTTAGTTCGGTTGTCTTTTTAATTTATTTGACATATTTCTTAATCTGCCAATCATGTATTTTTATTTGCTTGCCGAAATTTTTAATTTCTTCGCAAAAAAAGGTAATTTGAACTTCATCCCAGAAAGCGAAACCTATGTCCTCCTATCATATATAATCTGCTATACTAGAATACTATCTGGATAATTTCCCACACTTTCATACAATTTTTTTAATGCTTTCATTCGTCAAATTATTTTCTAGTAGGGAATAAACCAAATTATGTTGACAAAAATTATTGTGGTGCTGAAAACCGCCGTTTGTATTCGTTCGGGCACGCTTATTACATATGATTCGCCTGTTGAAGCTGTATAGTTTAGTGGAGTCCATCTTCCTGTTCTCGTCTAAGAAAAATATAAGACGAATAGTTATTGTGCTATTAGTAGTATGGTTTAAGCAAGTAATGGTTACGTTTTAAATCAATCCTCTATTGCATTAAATTTCCATTTCAAACTGCGCGTGCTTGCGTGCGTCCGATTATATATAGATATCCATGAATACTGGGAAGGTCAAAATTTTCGTTCTGGTTTTCGCATGGCATATGTTACGAACTTGTAGCATATAGGCGAACCACGGGTTTTAAAAAAAAGGAAAACGAGGGATCTTTTCTTGGTCTTCACTCAGGAATGAAAGCGACACAAGGGAGTCAACGAAGAGCAGACGCAAGGCGATGGATTTCAAAATAAAACATTTATTTATAAATACATAAACAGGTATGAAAGAAAAAGAAAATTCATTTAACAAAGGGGAAGGGGATCATAAAAGAACAGATGTACGAGCGAATACATACATATATAAAAAAAAAAAAGATCAAGCCAATAAAATCAACTTATCTGTGAGTCAAGTTGATATTTCAACACAAAATTCTAATTCGCCGAAGCAAAAGTTCTTATGTTAGAACAATATTTTTGGTCTGAGTTCCTTTTCTTCGTAAATGGTCGGGGTTTCACAGCATCTCGTACAGGCGTTTCGTTGGTCGATGCAGTTTCATAGCAGTCCTTTCATTCTCCAGTCGACAGACTTTGCTGTCTTCTTCATTTCGATGGGCAGTCCATTTGGAATCGGGACTGGTCGGGAAACTGAAAACCTTTTTTTAGATTTTTGCTGTCCTCAAAGATAGTCACGTGAGTTCTCTTCGTCCTTGACCGGGTACGCAGGAGGATGGGGCGCAAATCACGCAGTGTTTGCGCGATGGCCAAAAATTCAATCAACACTCAGTAGGGTCTGATCACGTTAATCGCAGCAGGAGAGCCTGATGGTGCCTGGAATTCACTTATTGTCAACCGCCTGATGAAGAAGAGGATATGGCTGATCATAGAACATATTCGCTCGCAAGTTGAAAGCATTGGATTTTATCTATTTTTATTTATTTTTTTTATTCTTAATTTTCGACTAGAATTTGGAATTTTTCTTTGGAGGTGCTTTTTATCGATACGCCTATATGGTTAATGAAATCGTAGGTACATCACACATAATATTAGCAGCATTTATTATTCATTAAAGACGTTTCTATTGTCAAAGCTGTCATATCAGTACGCATTTTAAAATTAATCTGGAAAACATGTTCGGTACATTATACCATCTTATTTAAAATTAGACCTGGAACACAACCCCAAACCAAGTTTTTTGCAGTTTATGGAGAAGGCGTGGTTTGCAAAGTCTCCTGTTGAAACAGGTCTACTTTGAGTCTGATGCTACAGAGTCAGAGTAGCATCAAGGATAGTCAACATATTCAAAGTATATAAATAAAACGTTGAAAATCATTTGCATCAGCTTGGTTATGTTAATTGCTTTGATGTGTTCGATCCAAA